TTGGCTTGAAAATGCCAGACTTAGCACGAGTGATCATGGGGTGGCCTTCTGTTGTAATGATTGAGTTGTCCACTGATGAAGAGGGAATGAGTTGCTGCATCGGATCAGCTGATAAACTTGATGAAGAAAGAGAAGAGCTGTTGCCTATAGGATCAAGATCAAAGCTTGCCATACACCCAGAACTCTCTCTTTCTTCATCAGTTTGCTGAGGAGCAACAACAAGAGATAAAGGATTTGAGCTCGGACAACTTGAGGTAGATAGAAGAGATGGTTGAGAGATCACTGCAGGAATTGCAGAGGATGGGGAAGCCGCAGGGATGCAATAAGGAACAGAAGCAGTAGTAGAAGTTGGAGCCATTGTCGGTTTAAGAAAGCTTTTGAACCAGGCTTCAGACAAAGGAGTTGTTGGCTGATGATGAAACTTCGAATAAACATCAGCACATGGGAAATCAAGTTCATCAAAGAGAACATGCCGACTGATATACACACGGCCTGTGGGAGGATAGATGCACTTGTAACCTTTGTATTTCTCATTGTACCCTAAGAAAACACATTTGAGGGGCCGTGGCTCAAGTTTTGTTGAAGAGTATGGCCGTAGAGAAGGACAACAGGTGCAACCGAAAACCCTGAGAGATGAGCAGTCAGGTCTCTTGCCAAAAAGAACTTCATAAGAGCTTTGATTATTGGAAAGAGATGATGAAGGAAGCAAATTGCTCAGAAAATTGGCAGTGAAGAATGTCTCTACCCAGAACTGTTGATGCATCTTGCTTTGAAACATCATTGATAGTCCAAGCTCAGTAATATGACGATGCTTTCTCTCAGCAATGCCATTTTGTTGAGGTGTGTGAGGGCATGAGATTAATTGTTTGATACCACATGAGCTGAGATGAACAAGAAACTTTGAGCTAATAAACTCTCCTCCCCCATCACATTGAAACATCTGAATTTTGCAACTGAATTGGTTTTCAACCAAAGCTCGGAACATGAGAAAGATAGAATAAAAGTCTGACTTCAATTTCAAAAGGTAGAACCAACAAAACCGAGAGAAATTGTCAATGAAGACTACATAGTACTTGAACAAACACAGATGGTGAAGGGACCCTTAGATCACAGTGCACCCTCTCAAGAGGTCTAACAGCATTGAAAACAGAAGATGGAAGCTTAGCACTCTTGCCGAGTTGACAGGACTCGCAGAGTTTGTTTGTAGTTTTGTTAATAGATATAGCCTTACTACGAGATAGTTGTTGAAGAATCTCTAAACTCAGATGACCCAACCTTCTGTGCCAGACTTCATCGGATGTACTGACTTGTCTAGTAGAGTAGAAAGCTGTAAAGAATGGATTCTCCAACACATAAAGATCCTTATGTCTGCTTCCTTGTATCAGGAGTTGCTTGGTGTGCTTTTCCTTTACATAGACACCATCAGCATCAAAGGTGAATGAGCAAGGGTAATCAGCTGTAAGCTTAGACACAAACAGCAGAGACTTAGTAATATTAGGACAGACAAGAACATTTTCTAATGAAAGCTTACCTGACACAGTCTGCAGGGGAGTTGACCCAATGTGAGTGATCGGTAAAAACTCACCGTTACCTACAACAACACAATCCCGGCCTAGATACGGTTGAGAGGTCTGAAGATTTTTGGCTGAGTTGGTGATATGGGCTGAAGCACGAGTATCTGGGTACCATTCATTTCCGGTGAGAGCTGAGTTGTCTGAGATGTGGAGGGCAGTGAGGGCAGTGGAGACATCAGGGCCTTGAAAGGTGATGTCAAAACGTCTGTAACACTTGACCACCGTATGTCCAACTTTTCCACACAGCTGACAAGTGGGTCGTGAATCTGAGGGCTGACCTGAATCACTATTAAAAGGCATTTGGTGTGGAAAACCATGGCCCCTGGTAAAGTAAGAGCATCGGCCTCGTTGGTTTCCATAGCCCCTGGTATAGTTACCACGACCTCTGAAGTTATTGTAGTCAGAGTAAGCTGGAGTGTCAGTGGTGTTGGTGGCAGCAAAGGCAAGATGTGGAGAGACTGCAGTATCAGTGAGATAGCCTTGAAGACGATCATCATAAGCAGTAAGTTTAGGAATAACATCTTCAAGAGTAGGACTTGGCACAGAGTCAAGAGAGTTTTCTATTGTGGTTTTTATTGGCTCATACTCTCTACCAAGACCATTCAACGCAGCAAAAATCTTCATTTGTTCAGTAACAGGACTGCCAATAGATTCAAGTTGGTCGCAAAGATTCTGCAGATTCCCTAAAAACTCAGTCATAGATTTTTCCTTCTTACTGCCGGTTTGCAACCGTCTTTGGAGCTCAAAAAGGCGAGAGGAAGAGACTCTATTGAAGTGTTTGGCTATAGAGACCCATACCTCATGAGAATTGGTACAGTGAACAACAACCTTCAAAATATTTTGAGCAAAAGAACCCAAAAGCCATGACTTGACGACCCCATCAATCTTGAGCCAAGTGAGATAGTCGGGATTTAGAGCTTGCTGAGTCGTGTTGTTGATACCAGGAACGGAGATAGTCTGAGCAGGAGCAAGAATGGTTCCATTGACGAACCCTAACAGACCCTGACCGGTGAGAAAAGACTTAAACTGAGACTTCCAGAGCAGGTAAGTTTGCTCAGTGAGTGTTACGGTAACACATTTCAAAATGTTTAGAGAAGGAACAGAAAAGAGATCCATGGAAGTGAGATACATGGCTCTGATACCATGAAAGCGAAAATAAACAGAGCAAGGAGGCAAGTAAAAGGTTCAAGCTTTCATAATTTCATTACTTAAGTTCATTGTTACACATAAGAGAGTATATATAGCCTTAAGCTGAAAACCCTAGACAAGAGACAGGTGTCACACGATCTCCTATTCATCTACACTAGATCCCAGAAGATCAAACCTATTAGAGAGAGATGGATTGCTCAGCTGGCTTGTACGGAGACTTGAGTTTATCTTCACGTGAAACTCTGTTTCTTTCCTCTGTTATGACCGTTGTGGGAGATTCAGCTTTGTTGGGCTTTTCAACTGTGCAGCGGCCCACTTCGTTCTCATTTAAGCCCAATGTTTCTTTCCTTTGCGATAAAACATCTTCATGAGATAGAGTCTTCACCTCTATATTGCTTATAGATACAAGTAGAGACATATAATGTCGCAAAAGAAGTTCAAATCGCATCTAGAGTAAGTCCTGATACATACGAGAAGCTTTTCTGGACATAAAAACAATTTTTGGATGCATTCTCAGGTGAAAATGACAATCTTTCCATGATACTTCACCAAAACCGATTATAAAATGGTTTCTAAACCTTTTTTTCTTTTGATATCTCGTAGATAGACAATGTCCGTGAGGATGTTTCAATTTTTTTTCCAAAATGGGAAGGTGGTACGTGCCGATACTATTGTGCATTGTACCGGACTACCGGGTATTTAGTTTTTCTTATTTTCAATTTTCTTGCTGAACAACAAAAGTTTAAATTCCGAAATGTTTGAACGTATTTTCTGCTCGTTTGTTTTAATAATGTGTGAAGGTACAAGTATTACTTTCCATTTCTTGAAACCAATGGTTATATGAGCGTCGATGACAATCGCGTTGAACCTCTCTACAAGCAAAGAAGATATGATGATGCGTCGCAATAGTGTCTACATGTTTTGGATTGTGGAGGCTTTGAATTATAAACAAATTGTGTGTGTGTGTGGGTGGGGGGTGGTAGTTTTAATATAATAGATAAGGTGTTACGGGTCAGCTTGGCAAAGTCTGCATGTTTTTGAATTCGGGACTTAGGTTAACCTTTATTCAAACCAAGAACGTTCTTGGTGCCTAAAAACTTTCTTTTTGAGGTCAATATCTTAAGGCTGCATATTAGATACCAATACGTGGTTAAATGTAAGAAAAGGAAATAGTTCAGGGGTTAGTTGGTTAAAGGCTGCTATTTCTTGGTTTTGGCTTTTGAATACTTTCATTGACTAATTGTTAGAAGAAGAATTTGAGCGTACCTTATAATATAACAGAAGGAATTTAAAGTGCAAGCATCAACTTCACTAATTGATTACACCTATTGAACAGTTAACTACAATTTCTGAAATACATAAAAAAGTGTAAAATACATTGAAAAAGTGTATCTTTTTTTATTTCTTTCCTCTTATACTTTCAATATATGGATGCAATTTGTTCGCTCATTCATTGCCAAATCTAGCAGCAAAGCACTTGATCTAAGTTCAGGAATCAAACTTCATAGTTAAAATTAGTTTTTGGTCCAAAATGGCGAAAGTGGAGCTTTGGAGAATGGAGATAAGAGTAGTTAGATACATTAATGCGTCTTTTACTTATCTTTTGTTTTTTAATTTTTTTTTCAAACCAACAAGACTCAAAATTCTTAAGATTTTGAGAGGATAAAACACGGGAAAGCAATGGTCAAAATCATGTAGATGTAGGTAACTTTAGGAATTTTGTCTTATAGTTCAATAAATGAAAATGTTATGTGTTTTAATATAATAATTTTTTCAAACATTGGTGCAATTTGCGCCGTCCGATTTAGTGTACGTGACGTTGGAAATGGGCAGATAAATGATCAAAGTGGAGTTGCTAACTTCAGTGGAGATTCTTTTTCATAATTGGCGACTGCGTTTCATATCATTTGATCACTCTTGTGAGACTTGTGAGTGTCACATTCATTATTCATTTTTGCCGTCTCATATTTAATAATTATTCCACAAAAATATATTTTACTTATTTGAATATTATTTTATATTAAAGTTTACTAAACTAGATCGGACTGAGCGATCAAAGCGGTTATAATTAAACAATCCTATGTTACGTTCCATTTTCACCTTGAAATATTTTATTTATAATAAATTTTTAAATCAAGTAAGAAAATGCTTACACAGTCAGGTGAAAATAACACGTCATCGTTGAAAAGTACGTTGTGATCTTCTTTATATACGAACACATCGATCGTCACATTCATATAATAATATCAACAAAACTTCCATTACATATCCTAAGTTATGGCACCAGAAGTATCTCCTCCATCCACATCACGCAACGTGGCAGTCATCGGTGCCGGAGCAGCTGGACTCGTGGCGGCTAGAGAGCTCCGGCGTGAAGGCCACTCCGTTGTCGTTTTCGAACGTGGGAGCCAAACCGGAGGCGTGTGGGCTTACACACCAAACGTTGAACCTGACCCGCTTAGCATTGATCCGACCCGACCCGTGATCCACTCGAGCCTCTATAGCTCTCTCCGCACCAACATCCCACGAGAATGTATGGGTTTCACTGACTTCCCTTTTTCGACAAGACCAGAAAACGGGTCTAGAGATCCGAGAAGACATCCGGGTCATAGTGAGGTTCTTGCTTACTTGAGAGACTTTGCCAAGAAGTTTGAGATCGAGGAGATGATTAGATTCGAGACAGAGGTTGTGAGGGCTGAGCCGGCGGCGGATGATCGCCGGAAGTGGAGAGTTGAGTCAAGGAACTCCGACAGTATCTCCGACCAGATTTACGACGCCGTCGTCGTTTGTAACGGTCACTATACAGAGCCTCGTCATGCTCAAATCCCTGGTAATATTAATCAAGCCATTAATCATTATTTCAACAAAAAAAATCAGTTATCATAGTTTTATTTTTTGTTTTTTTTTCTTTACATTTTTGTGTTTTTTTCCTTCATTATTTTTGATAAACCAAAAAATTTCATTGATTTATTTAGTTTTTAGAAGAAACCAAGCCTCATTTTTTTTATTCTTTCACAAAACTCTTTTTGAAAACAAATTTTCTTTGTTATAAAAACTGTAATTTTATTGCAATGTAAAAATAAGAGAGTAGTTTTTTCCTAATTAACCATCTTACTTTGCAGTGACTTTCGTTTTGTTTGTTGTTTTATTTAAAAAAAAAACAAATCGAAAGCTCTATATTTACAAAGTTAAGTTTAAGTTTAAATATGTAATTCTCTCTGTTTGAGACGCCCTTGTAAATATTTTCTCTGCATGAAATATAGGGAACTTACGATCCCTGATATTTTTTTTATAAATAATTTGGCTTTTCCAGGCATAGATTCATGGCCAGGAAAGCAAATTCACAGCCATAATTACCGAGTTCCAGATCAATTTAGAGATCAGGTAAAAAAAATCTGATCACTACTAAAAGTTTGGATCAAGAAAAAATAAATAAGAAAATAATCAATGTCTCTATAATTAAATTCGCATTACAGGTTGTGGTGGTGATTGGAAGCTCAGCAAGCGGAGTAGACATAAGCAGAGACATTGCAAAGGTTGCAAAAGAAGTCCATGTCTCTTCAAGATCTACTAAACCGGAAACGTACGAGAAACTTCCCGGTTATGACAATTTATGGCTGCACTCTACGGTAAGAATCAAATCACCAACTTCATCGATCCTTTGGTATTAGATATTTAATTCAATAACCATAACTTTTAGTTTATACATTGATCAATTCTTAACTACATGCATTGCAGATTGAAACTGTTAGAGAAGATGGTTCTGTGGTTTTTCCAAGCGGAAAGAAGGTTTACGCTGATACCATTATGCACTGCACCGGGTAATTATTGAACTATGCATTTTGCATAAATATGTTGAAACAAATATATGCAAATATTATATATTGATACTTTTTATATGATTAGGTACAAATATTACTTCCCGTTTCTCGACACAAACGGTGAAGTAACGGTTGAGGATAATCGTGTTGGACCGTTATATAAACATGTTTTCCCGCCGTCTCTTTCTCCGGGACTTTCATTTATCGGATTACCATGGCAGGTTAGTGATTTATCAGCTGTTTTGTTAGATTCATATGAAGTAGAAGACTCTTTGTGTCAATAGTTTATTCAATCTTTGCTTTTTTTTTTTTTTTTTACTTTATGTTTTAGATCACTCCTTTTCCGATGTTTGAACTCCAAAGCAAGTGGGTAGCCGCAGTTTTGTCTGGTTGGGTTACGCTCCCGTCGAAAGATGAGATGATGGAAGATACTAAGATGTTCTACGCAAAGCTCGAGGACTTGGGTATCCCCAAGAGATACACACATCTTATGGCAGACGATTCTCAGGTACATACACCATCTTTTTTTTTCCATGACATTTAAAGAAAACATTATCTAAATTGAGAGTCATATTAATTTGAATAATATGTTTTTAACAGTTTGAATACGATAATTGGCTTGCTGATCAATGTGACTATCCTCGGATAGAGAAATGGAGAGAGCAAATGTTTTACATCGGTTACAAGAGAATATACGCTCAATCCAGTACATATAGGGACAATTGGGATGATGATCACCTCATTGCAGAAGCATATGAAGATTTCGTCAGATTCACATCTAACTATTCAAGCTCTTTGATCGAATCTTAAAAAAGAAAGAGGATATATAAACAAACGAAAAGAACTTAGCTTTTGTTCTGCGGAGAAGAGGCCAATAAGCGTGCGTCAGTTTATTGCATGCGGAAATGTTGAAAGTCGAATACTAGTAAGAAATAAGCGACTTGATATATATGTGTGGATAACGATAACGATATTTTAGAAAATATGTAATAAGATGAGGAACATTGTATAAAGCCGCCTTTCGTAAAGGAAGAAACAAACAAAAGAGTTTGCCATAACTCATCATAAGTCACTGAGAAATTCTCGGTGATGGTTTAATAGTCATATAAAGACCAACGCATTAAAAAGGATTTATGTAATAATTTTTTTTAATCAAAGTTCATATAGTGTATGAGATAACAATAATTTGTAATCCAATCGAAATATACTACGTATTGTTACGTATGGTAAGATAACAATAAACCGAAGAAGACATTTCCTCATCTCCTTGAAATAGTACGTATTGTTACGTATGGTAAGATTACAACTTTCAAATCGACGAACTTTAACAATGAAAATGATCTAAAACTGAACTAAAGAAAGAAAAAAAAACGTTTATTCAACCTCTACTATATTAAAACGCTGCGTTTAAACTATTTTCGACTTCTGAAGATTTTCTGTTGAAACGAACAATTGTGTGGTTCATGACTTTGTGGGCCACATATTTTTTAACACAGGGCCTCCAAATATTCTCCGTCTTTTAGGAATCTCGTAAACACACAATGGCACCTTCCTTATCACCAATCAAATCGCACCACGTGGCAGTAATCGGAGCTGGAGCCGCCGGTCTAGTGGCGGCGAGAGAGCTTCGACGGGAAGGTCACTCGGTGGTCGTCTTCGAGAGGCAGAAACAGGTTGGAGGAACATGGATCTACACCGATCATGTAGAGCCGGATCCGTTAAGCGTCGACCCGACCCGACCCATTGTCCACTCGAGCGTGTACGGCTCTCTCCGAACTAACCTTCCACGAGAGTGTATGGGATACAGAGACTTCCCGTTCGTGATCCGATCCGGCGAATCCAGAGATCCGAGAAGGTTTCCGAGTCACCGTGAAGTTCTGGCGTATCTGCAAGATTTCGCTAAGGAGTTTGGTATCGAGGAGATGATTCGGTTCGAGACGGCGGTTGAGCGGGTTGCTCCGGCGACGGAAAGCGACGGTGAAGCAGGAAACATGAAATGGAGGGTTGAATCTACAGAGAAGGAGAAGAAAGTTCGTCGCGATGAGATTTACGATGCTGTTGTTGTCTGTAATGGACATTACATTGAACCTCGTCTAGCTGAAATTCCTGGTAAATTCCCCTCTTTGAATTTCAACATCTTGACGTTCATTGGTTTCGCGCGTTAAGCTTCATAGGAACAGTGAAGCATAAGCTCTAGTGATCAGTGTGATTATGATTCTCGTTTTGGGATTCATCATCATTTTCAACATCTTGATTTTCTAAAATATCGTTATGTGTTTCCATAGTCCTTATCCTTGTTTTACCTCGAAGATTTAGATCGTATGTGGAAACAGAACTTTATAGAGCTTAAATGATAAGTTTGATTGTGATTTTTTCTCTGGAAAATTTTAGGGATAAGTTCTTGGCCAGGGAAGGAGATGCATAGCCATAATTACCGTATTCCTGAACCATTTAAAGATCAGGTTACTCATTTTTCAAAAGATCATATAATGTCAGATTCTTCAGCGATCTTATGTAAAAGATAATGTAAAGTAATGAAGCTTGTGTTGCATTGATTTAGGTTGTTGTGCTGATTGGGAACTCTGCAAGTGCTGTTGATATAAGTAGAGATATTGCTGGATCTGCCAAAGAGGTTCATGTGGCTTGTAGGTCAAATGCAGCGGATACGTTTATCAAACAGTCTGGTTACAGTAACTTGTGGATGCATTCCATGGTAGGTTAGCTTCTAAGTAGTTTGATAAGAGAACACAGATTTGTTCCAAATATAACGGTTTTTGGTTCTTTGAATCTCACGCAGATTGAACGTGTCCATGAGGATGGTTCTGTGGTTTTTCAGAATGGGAAAATAATTTCGGCTGATGTTATTATGCATTGCACTGGGTACTCATTCTTTCTTTCCTTCTCCGGATTCTCAAAATCATTTCGGTTGATGTAAAATTTAAAAGCTCTTCTCTTTTTCAAAAGGTATAAGTATCACTTGCCGTTTCTTGATACCAATGGAATTGTTACTGTGGACGATAACCGTGTCGGGCCATTGTACAAAGATGTCTTCCCTCCAGCATTAGCACCGTGGCTCTCTTTCATCGGGATACCATGGAAGGTACACAGCACGAGTCGCCCTTAAACAAGTTTCACATTTGCACTGTTTTCAGTTATCCTTAACAAATTTGGTTCTTTTTAGGTTGTGCCTTTTCCTATGTATGAGTTTCAAAGCAAGTGGCTCGCGGGAGTTTTGTCTGGTCGGATTATGCTTCCATCCAAGGATGATATGATGAAGGAAGTCAAATCTTTCTATGCAACACTTGAAGCTCAAGGGATTCCAAAGCGATATACTCATCAAATGGGGTTTACTCAAGTAAGGATTCTATATAATTTGTGTTTTTGCTCAGAAACCAAATATAAACCGAAACCAAACAGAATGAACATTAACGATTATTGTTTTTGGTTATTGTTTAACAGTTTGAGTACAATAATTGGTTGGCTTCGCAATGTGGATGCTCAGGAACAGAGGAGTGGAGAAAAGAGATGTATTTGACGACTGGTGTGAGGAGAAGAGAGTATCCAGAGACTTATAGAGACGAGTGGGAAGATCATCACTTGGTTTCTCAAGCTTATCAAGATTTCTCTTTATATACACAGTAAATCTCTAACAAAAGAATCCAATAAAGTACAGTTAATTACCAAAGATATTGTGCCAACACTGCCATTCAATTGGAGAATGTTAAAAAGAACAGAGTGTGAGCATCACTAAGTTCCTTAAGCTTATTAATATTTCTCTCTATGTGCATAAACATAAGAAATGTAGGAAACTTGCTCTACCAGAGTATGGTAAAAGCTTTAATGCCATGAAGTTTTAAAACATTCCTAGAACATACGATAAATCTATTTCGTAAAATAGTAAAAACCTGCTAAGTAAGTTGTCGTAAAATAGTAATATATTATAACAATTGTGGAAACGAAGCAATTGTAAATTGTAAGGGAAATTTATTCCTCTTCCCTGATCTTTTCTTCTCTCCTAACACTATTTTCTCCATCCGTGAAACATAATTCTCTGTGTCTCTGCAACAATGGGTGGTTGCTTCTCTGTCTCAGTGTCATGTGATCAAGTTTTGAATCAAGTCACTGAATGGTTATGCGTCTAAGAAAGCTATATTCACAAACTTGCTGAGAATCTCACAGCTTTAGAGGCAACCGTGAAAGAGTTTAAGGCATGGCGAGATGATTTGTCAAGAAAGGTGGAGAGAGAAGATAATAAAGGTCTAAGAAGGCTTGCTCAAGTTCAGGTACGGCTTACTAGAGTTAATGGCCTGTTTAGGGTTAGAAAAATTGTACGTATCTATAATTCTAATTGTACATTTTTTAGCTCAACTCTGACATTTAGCAAACCGTATTTGATACAGTCTCATATCTTGTTTATACGTAGAAAGAGAAATCTTGATAAGCTTGAGATACATCTCTTTCCTCCATTCGTCTCTATACGTAGAAAGAGAAATCTTCCCATTCATCTCCATACGTCTCTGGATGCTCAATCTTCCTCATGAAGCACACCATACACATCTCTTTCCTCCATTCCTCTGTTTCTGAGCACCCGCATTTCGAAGCCAACCAATTATTGTACTCTAACTATGAAACAACAAAAAGAAAAGTCAAAATTTGGTGCAGAACAACAAGATTTGGTCTCACAAAAGAAACACAAGTTGAAGCTACAAGAAAACATAAGAACTTTTCTTACTTATTAATATTATCATCAAATTATGGTAAGTTTTTTAAATAGCAGCTAACCCACCATCGAATGCATCCAGAGATTAGTGTAACGTAACAGCTGCATTTGATCTACAAACCACATGGACCTCCTTGGCAACTCTAGCAATGTCCCTACTTATATCATCAGAACTTGCAGAGTTTCCAATAAGCACAACAACCTAATCAAATATAGCACAATCTTCACATGAATTTAAGCATTATGTGATTTTATTGATGATCGAAACAGAGCAAAACAACCAACGTACTAAAACACAGAGCCTTAAAATCATAACTTGCAAAAAAAAAAAAAAAACAGAGTGGAAGGGAAACAAAATCCTAACGACCAAAAACAAAGCAGAAGGGTTAATTACTACAAGTCAACAATACATAATATGATAAACCTAGTTTAAGAATTTTGTGAAATTAGTTAGAAATATTGGTAAAGTCTTAATACTTCACTACAACAAGACTAATAAACTATTGAGATTATTATACTAATACCGAATTTGACCTTCCCGTGGAAGCCCACTCGCCGCCACACTCACCGCTTCATGACCGGCGGCTCCAGCTCCGATAACTGCCACGTGGTGTGATTTGATTGATGATGAGGATGGTGCCATTTTGGTTCTACGAGATTCTCAAGTGGTCTTCTTCGGTTAGCCATGGAGAGAATTTGTGATTACTAATTTACTATGATGTCCCACCAAAGTCAATTACCGAGTGTGAATGTGAGAATTAATTGAAATCAAAGATGCTAAATTTCCAAGAAAAGTCAGTTATTTCTTGTGGACGAGAAAGAAAGATGCAACATTTCACAAAAAGCCTATCTTCAATTATTCTCTGCATCCTCTCTGGTGTGCTCTGATCAGTGAATTTCAAATTTCAGATCTCTCTCTCATTCTGTAAAATGGGAATCTCTTTCTCGATACCTTGTGATCCGTGTGTAAATAAAATCTCCGACTGGCTAGACGAGAAAGTAGCCTGTATACACAATCTCAAGAAGAATCTCAAGGCTCTGGAGACAAACATGGAAGACCTCAAGGCTAAGTGGGATCATTTGTCAAGTAGGGTCACAAGAGAAGAGGATAGAGGTCTACAAAGGCTTGCCGAAATCCAGGTATGGTTTACTAGAACTGAGACTGTAGGAAAAGAAGTTAACGAGCTTCTTAGTGCTAGAGATGATGAACTTCAAAGTCTGTGTCTTTGTGGGTTTTGCTCTAAGAGTTTAATATCAAGCTATCGTTTTGGGAAAAGGGTTGTCATGACGTTACGAGAGGTTGAGAAACTCAAAAGTGGTGGAGTTTTCGAAGTTGTTGCTGAGCAGGCTCAAACACCTGAGGTGCAGGAAAGACAACTTCAACCGACAATTGTTGGTCAAGAAATAATGCTCGATGAGGCTTGGGAACATCTCAGGAAAGATGGTGTTGGTATTATGGGTCTGTATGGTATGGGCGGAGTAGGAAAAACAACGCTTCTGGAACAAATCAACAATAAGTTCAGTGAAGAAAGGTGTGGATTTGACTTTGTGATTTGGGTTGTGGTGTCTAAAGAGTTACATGTAGAGAAGATTCAAGATGAAGTCGCTCGAAAAGTTGATCTTGGTGGAGGGGAGTGGAAAGAGAAGGAGAAGACACAAAAGGCCGATGTTTTATTCACTTTCTTAAAGAAAAAGAAATTTGTGTTGTTTTTAGACGACATATGGGAGAAGGTGGAATTGAAAGAGATCGGAATCCCGTTTCCAACAGCACAAAACGGATGCAAACTGGCATTTACCACTCGTTCCCAGGATGTGTGCGCACACATGGGGGTCAAGGACCCAATGGAAGTCCAATGCTTGGAGGAAAATAAAGCATTTGATTTGTTCCAAAAGAAGGTTGGACCAATAACACTAGGAAGTGATCCGGATATCCCTGATCTTGCAAGAAAAGTTGCTAAAAAATGTTGTGGGCTACCATTGGCGCTCAATGTTGTAGGGGAGACCATGTCATGCAAGAGAACGGTACAGGAATGGCGCCACGCTATAGATGTTTTGACTTCATACGCTGTAGAGTTTTCTGGCATGGAAGATAAGATCCTTCCGCTTTTGAAGTATAGCTACGATAATCTTAAGGGGGAGCAGGTCAAATCGTGTTTGCTATATTGCGCATTATTTCCAGAAGATGGTAATATTCGAAAGGAAACATTGATAGACTACTGGAGCCAAGGGATTATTGATGGAAGTGAATGTGTTGAAAAGGCTGAGAACGAGGGTTATGGTATAATCAATAGTCTTGTTCGTGCATCATTATTGATGGAGGTTCGGTGTAGAAAAGATATTGTGCGTATGCATGATGTTATTCGTGAAATGGCCTTATGGATTGCATCTGACTTGGGGAAAGAAAAAGAGGCATTCATCGTGCGTGCAGGCGTTGGGTTACGTGACATGCCAAAGGTTAAGAGTTGGAAAGTTGTGAGGAAGATGTCACTGATGAAGAACCAGATTCACCATCTCGATGGCAGTGGTGTATGACTTGAACTCACAACTTTGCTCCTCCAAAGCACGAATTTGGCAAAAATATCGAGTGGATTTTTCAACTCCATGCCAAAGCTAGTTGTTTTGGATCTATCGAATAATAGAAATCTTTCAGAGTTGCCTGAAGGAATATCAAAATTAGTTTCCTTGCAATATCTCAACTTATCAAGAACTGCTATCACTCATTTGTGTAAGGGTCTACAACAGTTGAAAAAACTAATTCACTTGGATTTGAGGGAAACAAGTGAACTTTCCAGTATGGCTGGGATATCAAGTCTGCACAATTTGAAAGTTTTGAAATTCTCAGGTTCTGCTTTTTCATGGGGTTTTGACACAGTAAAGGAGTTGGAAAGTTTGGAGCATTTAGAAATTATAGACACGGGATTTTTTGATCTCTCACAAGGTTTCGAGGAATTTTCGAGCTCTCATAGGCTAATGAATTGTACACGATCTGTAAAGCTTCGGTATTGCGGGGATGGTTTGCATTCATCTGAAATATCTCTTCCAGTAACTATGGACAAGCTTTGGTGTATCAGAATTGAGGATTGCAGTATCTCTGAGATAAAGATGGTAAACATCGAAACCAAGATGGTTTCTCCTCTACACAATCCAAGAAGCCCACGCTTCTTCCGCCTCTCCGACGTGGGTATAAAGAGATGCAGATACTTGAGGGAGTTGACCTTTCTGATGTTCGCTCCAAATCTTAAAAGTCTTACTGTTTTCGAGTCACCTGAACTAGAAGATATAATACACAAAGAGAAAGCTTGCGAAGGTAAAGAATCAGAGATTGATCCATTTCGAAAGCTGATTTCTCTTGAGTTGTGTGATCTACCGGAGCTGAAGAATATCTATTGGAGTCCTCTATGCTTTCCATGTCTAGAGAGAATCGACGTAACCAATTGTCCAAACCTGAAAAAGCTTCCACTCGATTCCCAAAGTGGCACGCATGCTGGAAATGGACTCATCATAAGATACAAAGAGAAAGAGTGGTTTGATGGTGTGGAATGGGAGGACGAAGCTACCAAAACCCGTTTCTTACTTTCATCATGCCCACAGGTCTAAATTTCTCCTCTCTCTTATTTGTTTTCAAAGGGTGCACTTTTTCAGGTTGTGAACAGCTTCCATCATTGATGCATCTTGTCTATTTTTGTTTTCTGTTAAATTTGATTGCAGCCATCAGAGAGAAGAAAGCTCGTCTACTGAGGCAGAAGCTGAAGAAGCCATCCAAGAACTTTTCCCTCTCTCTCTCTCTCTGGGTTGCTTCCCGTGAAGTCACTATCACTCTTTGTGTGTTGCTTTATGTTGAATAACATCAATACTTTGGTTTATCCCAAAGAGAAATTTCTTTCCAATTGTTACATTCTGTGAGTCCTCTGCCTACTGCTGCATTCTGTAAAATCACTACCACTCACTATGTGTTGCTTTATGTGAGTTCTTTTCTTATTTGGATCGACATTAATATAAGTTTTCATACACAAACTCGAGAGCTGTTCAAATTTGCGCCAGAGTATCCAATCTTTCTGACCAGTTACCTCATCTTTTGAGATAAGCTCCGGACCCAATATATTGAGAACTAACGGGTTACTTATGCCTCTGTCTCTTTGTATGTGTTTAAGATTTGATTGAGAACATAAAGGTCAGTTAGCAATCGAAGTGTATGATGCCATTTGGGTTTAATTCAAAGGGACTCTCTGGCGCAGCGTACGAACTGAAAACTGGTTCTAGAGAAGAATCGAAGATGATCTTCTAAGAACAATCGAAGTGTATGATGCCATTTGGGTTTAATTCAAAGGGACTCTCTGGCGCAGCGTACGAACTGAAAACTGGTTCTAGAGAAGAATCGAAGATGATCTTCTAAGAACAACTTTCGCTCAATCAAGAGAACTCGCTAAGAATTCAAATCTTGAGACCGAACTTCCTGCTTGACGACGTTAATCAAGTCAACACAAGGGTAAGAGATAGGCCTGGGCAAAAAACCTGGATCCGAATATCCGAACCGGAACCGAACCGAAATTGAAGTACCGAATCCGAACCGAAATTTTTAAAAATATGAATCTTAAACTCTTATACCCGAAGAATCGGAACCGAACTAGTACCGAACCGAGAACCGATTGGGTACTCGAATTATCCAAAGTATAATTATATATCTTTCTAAATATTAGTTTTTTTTTGATATTTTTGATATTTGATATATATTTCTGGCTTTACAGATATATTTTCTTTATTTTTGGGACTTTTGGGTATATTTTTAAGTTTTGATATATATATTTTTGAGTTTTTGTTATTAAAAAAGTATGAGTCGAATTAAAAATTTGAAGCAAAAGATCCGGATCCGATTATCCGAACCGGAACCGAACCAAAATAAAGGTATTGAACCCGAACCAAAATTTATAAAAATATCCGATGAATTCTAACTTCCTCTACCCGAAATATCCGGAACCGATTGGTTCCGAACCGAAACCGAACCGAATATCCGAATGCCCAGGCCTAGTAAGAGAAAACTCTTTGATTAATAATTCCAAAAACTGAAAAATAATGAGGCCACAAGTTGGCTATAAATATACGACTAAGATCCTTATCACAAACGATAAAGGATATATTCTAATTCTTAATTTAGGAAATACTTAAGCTTATCTAAATAAAAGGAAAATTAGAAAAGTAAAACTCAAAACCAAAATTAAGTAAAACTTGACAATTTGATTGTCAAGTTGGCGCCAATGCTGCTGCATCACTCTCTCTCTCTATCTCCGCCTTCTTCTGGTTGTTGTTTAAGTCTCTCTGTTTGTTGCTTAAAAGTAAATTACTTCTTGAAATTCCATCGACACTGATCTCTCTACTTTGGTTCCGTTTGGAATTGCTTGGAATGGTCTCATATACCATCTCTAGTTTTTCCCTTAATGAACTTCTTTGATGGTGTACAAAAACCGGTCTAAAGGCGTTTTAAGTAGCTAATACAATGTAGAGGAAAAAAAGAAAAGGTAGCTAATACAATATGGAAAAAACAATAAAGCAAACAGAAAATAATAGGGAAAAATTGCTAGAAAATTTAACTATTTAATTTTTTGAAAGAAACTCACACAAATTTTTAGCGTTACCAAAAATTCATACAAACTATTTTTTCGATCCATAAAATTATCTAAACTTTTTAAAATTTTATTTTTCTTCCCTCTGATTTCACGGCCGTTAACGAACATAATTGAATCAATAAACATCGTTAATTTTTTTGTAGGAAAAAATGTCAAAAATACCTCAATTATTTAATTTTGTCTAAAATCACACAAAATTTTTGTGTTGCCAGAAATCCACATAAACTATTTTTTCGATCCATAAAATATATAAAATTTTTAAAGTTTCATTTTTCCTTCTGAGATTTCACAGTCAATAATAGGCATAACAGAATTGAGAAACTGCGTTAGTTTTCTATAATACATGCTTATTGTTGTCGGATTAATACCATTGTTACTCTTAAAAAATCTTTTAATCAATTTGGAGAAGAAAAAACTAAACTCTAATTTTTTTTCTCTCACTCTTTCAAATATTGAGTGAAATCGGTTGAAAATATGATTAGTAAAACAATAAATCATGTTCAGAACATTTACATCATCTCTTTGAATTGCTCTTATTAGTTTTATATATCAAAACACACACTGTTTCTGACTCAATTTAAGACTATCAACCATATTTTCCAAGAATAACAATGGTATCAATCCTATAGCAATTAGCACGTGTAATAAAAAACTAACGAAACAGCCTTGAAACCTTAAGAGGAAAAATGAAATTTTAATAAGTTTGAGTATTTTTATGGATCGAAAAAATAGTATGTGTGGATTTCTGGCAACGCAACAAGTTTATGTGAGTTTTTGGCAAAATTAAATAGTTGAAGTTTTTTTTGGTATTTTTTCCTTCAAATAAATTAACGTTGTTTAGTGATTCTGTTATGTCCGTTAACGGCCAAATCAGAGAGAGGAAAATGAAACTTTAAAATAAGTATTTTTATGGATAAAAAAAGAGTTTGTGTGAGTTTCTGACAACGCTAAAAAATTGTTTGGATTTCTTCCAAAATTAAATAGTTGAGATATTTTTTCGGTAATTTTCCCGAAACTCATAATTGTATTTTTCAAAATCTATTTTAAAAAGATCTTTTTAGACCTATTTAAGAATTTAAATCTAGTTGTGCATTGGATCTATGACTATCAATCAAATCTCATCTCTTTGTTTGTAAATATAAAGAGAAATCTTGATAAGCTTGAGAAACCAAGTGATGATCTTCCCATTTGTCTCTATACGTCTCCGGATGGTCCATCTTACTAATGAAACTCGTCAAACGCATCTTTTTCCTCCATTCCTCTGGTCCTGAGCACCCGCATTGTGAAGCCAACCAATCATTGTACTCAAACTGTGAATAAGCACACACCCAAAAAGCACACACACAATTAAGAAACAAGAAATGCAGTTTAGTTGAAAGAATATTATAATAATTGTGGGAACTAAGCAATTATACATCTTTGGATGGACCCATCCATAAAGCAAAAGCTTATTCCTCTCTCCAATTATACATCTTTGTAAGGGAAATTTATTCCTCTTCCCTTATCTCCTCTTCTCTCCTAACACTATTTTTTTTTCCATCCGTGAAACTGATATATCATGGTTTTTATGGGTTTTAACCATGGTATAAGTTTTTTTTTATAGAGTCTTATTAGTGTCTTTCGAGTCTTTTGGAGTCTTTTCAGATCATAAGTACGTTTGAAGCTTAACTAGAGACGTTGGAGCACTTTGGAGCTTAATCAGGATCAAATTCGTCAAGTATAGATTTTGTGCTTTAGTGTCGCTCGACACCATGGAGAGTGACACTCGACACTTGTCAGAGAAATAAGGAAAATGCGATTTTGTTTCCTATTTGAAGAAGGAGTTGGGCCTAAACGTTTCCAAGGAAGCCCAAAACGTGTTTTAGAGATATATATAGGATTTTTATTCTCTTTTTATCGATACCTTAGATTTTTGAGAGAGAGATACTCTGAGTTTTCGGCTTTTGCGATTTTGAGAGCTTGGGGAGACAAATCTGAACTCTGTTCGTTTAGAGAGAAGATTTCGAACCCTTTTATCTATTTTGATTTTATCTATTGCTTTCTATTCATCATGTTTGTTGTTCCAATAACCATGTCTGAGTAGATCACCTGTTAGGTTTAGGGTTAATTAGGGTTTTCTTTGAATGATTGATTAACTTGCTAGTTAGGGTTCATATCTATTTGTTCTTCATCTTAGGTTGTTCTTAATGCTAATTTTGGACTGATCACCTAGAACTTAGATCTTAGGTTGCTTAATTGACACGGAAGTGTAATTGAAAAACTAGAAAGAACCTAGGTTGAGCAAAATAGCTATTCGCAAAGGAATTTGGTTTAGATACTTTGTGAACATATCAAACTTGTGCATTAAAGCTGGTTTAAATCTTTAGGGTTTGCAAAGGAATTTGGAATTCTAGGATTTTAACTTAGATAATTCTCACAACGGAAGTTGGTTAATTATAATTATGTGTTTCGAGTTCAAGAACTGTGCTTAAACCTGAACCCTGATTAGTTAAGTCGATCTGCATTCATTGATCTCCTGAAAATCACCCTAGACCTATTCCTTATCCAATCGAACTTACAAACCGTTTTTACTGCTGTTTAATTTGTTTCTGTCGCATCACTACTTATTTCCTATATTTCTGCTTAGCGTAACTCTATCTTTACAAGGTTTATTGAGTGATCTCTTGTCTCTGTGGTTCGACCCCTAAATACTACAACTGCACATCTGTGCTCTTGTAGAGTAGCTTAGGGATTAAACTTTGAGCAGATCAGAAACATCTTTCTCTATGTCTCTGCAACAATGGTGGTTGCTTCTCTGTCTCAGTGTGATAAAGATTGAGAATCCATAACGCTTTATTGATGATAGAAATGTGAAATACAAGAAGCTGATAAGATCTCATGTCGATCTGATAGATGATCTCATGGCTATCATCACAAGCTCATGTCTCTTGTTTACACATTCATCATAAATCGCATAATGGAAAGTGTTAGGATTAAGCATGACGAAGTAGCGACCTTTATCATGTAATCTCACCATCTCTCAAATTGATTTAACTCTGTGTGTAAGAAAATTGAGGAAGAGAAGAAGAGAAAACAGAGTATAGAGCTTGAGACACAGGAGTTTAACGTGTTCGGGTTACCCCTACTCACGCCGGGAAACTTTTTGTCCCGGAATCCACAAGAATCAGAGTAACTTAAGGATTTTACAAAGATCTAGACCCCTTGTCTCTCTCACTGTGATCTTACTTGCTAACTTAGCCTTACAAGTTCACACCATCTCTGTTGCCTTTTATTGGGCTTTGAGATTGATACTTTGAACACTATCTCGAGAACTGGTCCAAAGCCTGAGCTTTCTTTACTGGCTCATCACGTGAAAGAGAACCTGCAACTTAGCGCCTGCAACTCTTCTTTGTC